CACGGAATGTGCATCAATGATAATGACATTATAATCAAAAAATGGAAAATCAAATGCACATCCAAAAGACAAACTGTCGTTGAATTATAATCACAGTATAATTATCCAAATACATATCACAGCTTACAAAATACCCAATTAAAAATGAATTTCAAACTACATGACTATGTTTACAAAGAAGCCAATAAGGGGTTGTAACATACTTAATCTAAACTTGTCAATATTATGATGTCAATGTTTAAAATACATGTGACTGTTCTAAATAACTTCTAAAGTCCTGTTGTAGATGGTTGTGTTTGTTCAAATTCTCATTGAGTAAGTTGGCTTGGTCCTGTAGTTGGCTGAGTTTCAGGTTGCTGAGTTGGTCCTATAGTTGGCTAGGTTTCAGGTTGTTGACTTGATCCTGTAGTTGGCTCGATTTCAGGTTGCTGACTTGATTGAGATTGGTTTGTTGGAGGACGTTGTGGGTAAGTATTTCTTTTATGACCAAGTTGTCTACATATGGAACATCGCTTACAAGTTCCATTTTGCTTTATCTATGTGTCATCCTTCTTTAGCTCCCAAGCCTTTAGCCTTCTCTTCTTTTTTGGTTTACCAGGTAACATCCTTTTAGGTGGAGGCAAGACATCAGGCTGAGAAGTCATTTCCCATAGGTGATGACCATTGATAAGGTATATCATTGGAATATATGTTTCTTGGTATGATGACCTTCTAAACCAATTTGGGATGTAGTCTTCTCCATTGATGTTCAAAAAATTCATGGCAGCTAGTGCATGACAGCATGGGATTCCTATTAAAGTCCACTTTCTGCAACTGCATTCGACTTTATCTATGTCAACAACATACTTCTCATCAATCATTGAAGTGTGTCTCACCTCAAAAAATTTTTGTCCTGACCAAGTGCAATGATAAGCAATTAAAATCAATATTTAAAGTAAAAAAATTTAAAACATCATAATAAAGTCCAGATTCTGATGTAGTGATGTGCACATACCTAGGTATCCAAAATTTAGTCATGCGCAATTCCTTTTCAAATCTTCTTTTAATCTTTGGGCAAATACAACCTTCAAATGTAGTTATTTTCTGTCTATTTGTTGTCCATCTCTTCATGAGGTACATACGAATGTCTTCCATCATTGGGATGATGGGCTTACCTCTTGCATGTAATATGACACTGTTGAAAGCTTCAAACATATTATTGACTAAGGTGTCACAAACAGCTTTACCTGTAAACCTTAAATGTGACCAAAATCTAATTAAACAAAAACAAGTGAAATATATCAGGTAGGAAAACAAACAAAAGTAAACATGAAGAATGGATTTAAATATGACATACCTAGGTGGAATTGCTAACAAGTATTTGAAGGCATCTGGATTGACATATTTAATTTCTCTCATCACTGCCTCCCATGCTGGAGGGTGTGTTGATGATGTTGCCTTTCGTAATAGACATTTTAGAATTTGGCCAGGAAATCTCTTCCTAAAATTAGCATAAACGTGACGCACACAAAATCTTTGCTCCACACCAGGTAGAAGTTCTTGTAATGCTGGAAAAAGTCTTTATCAAAGTAAAAACATGAAGCTATACAAATTATAATACAAGACATGAAGGTTTCAAAGATAAAAAACAACAATGGGCTATGTTACTCACTTTTTGTTGATCTGACATATATGTGATTGTTGAAGAAAGCTCCACACCACCAAGATCATCAATGAGTAATTGTAAAAACCAAAGCCAATTATCCTTATTCTCCACCTCAACAACAGCATATGCCAAAGGACACATTTGCTCATTCTATCTCTTGCAACTGTAGTTAACAACTCACCTCCATATTTTCCTTTTAAGAAACAATCATCTAAACCTATAATAGGCCTACAAGACACAAAGTTGTCCTTACAGGCCTTGAAACACACATACATTCTCTTGAATATTGGATTATCCTCATTAGATTCAACCTTAACTTTAACAGTTGAACCAAATTAGACCGAAGCAACTCATTTGCATAGTCATAGAGTCTTTTATATTGTTCTTTAATATCACCTTCTATTTGTTTAAAAGTCATTGTCTTTGCCTACACGTTGTAGACTAAGAAACACCAATGTTCCACTTCTTAGAAACTTTGTTTTGGAGGTTATTGATAATGACATATTTTATTATGATTTCACTATTGATTTGAGAGAAAATGTTAACTCTTTCTTAGCTTTTTGCCTTGTAAATCCTAGTTTTCTTGTAGTTTCTTAAGTGGTTGCATCTTAAGCTTAAATGAGAAAATTTGATCATTAATTCCTGCTTTTATGTGCCCAAAGTAGGTGGAAGAAGTCTATGCATCAAATGAAGGCATTAGAACCCAAGGAAAGCAAGAAAAATATCAAAAAGGGAGAATTCTGAAATGATATCGCTGATCTGCCGCTAGGCTACCGCTTGAGCGGTTTGCTCTCTGTAATGCTAGCGCTGGGATACCGCTTGAGCGGTAAGGACGCTGATGTGGTAAATATGATGTTTTTAAGATCTCAAACGCGAAAGGCTTGGCATCTTTTGGCATACAAACGTGATTCCTCTTGCTAGAGCATCAAAAATCGAGCTAGGAGCTATGGGAACAACCCTTTTTCCTTGGGTTCTCTTCCTTCTTCCATTTCCACCATTTTTGTAAGCTCAAGCTCTCCATTCATGGAGAGCTAGTTTCATTGTTGTTGGGGGATTGATGTAGCCACTAAACTCTTGTGTAAACTACTGTGTTTTGAATGAATATATGTTTCTTTCATTGATTGTTAGTATTTAATACCTTCTCTTAATGCTTGTTGTGAAGTTGCTACCCATGGCATGATTTTAGGGTTTGGTTGATATTGGGAAATGTTGGGTAAATCTGGAAATGGATTAAACACCTAGAGGAAATAGTATCTAGGGATAGAACTAGGACCTTGGTTGTCTTAAATCTCAATTCTTAATGCGGAAATAATTGTTAAGTTTTCTAAGGGATTGAAGCCTGATAAGGAAGTCTAGGCTCTCTACCAAGGGATTAAGTTTGAGTAAATTAGTAGATTGACATTAACATATTAATGAAGAGAAAGTGATTTACCATACATAAGATAGAAGTAGGTGAAATCATAGCCCCAATGATATCATTCCATATCATTTCTAATCTTTTCATTTCCAAGTGTTTGAGTATCTAAGATACTTTTATCATATATGTTGAATGTTTACTTAATTGCACAAAAAACCCAAATTATGGAATCATTCATTAGTCTAAGTTAGTTGGAAATTACATGATTGTTTGGTGACACGAGTCTCTTGGGAAACAATATCCAGTCTTGTCGGTTTATTACTTGAAACGTTTTGGTACACTTGCCAAAGTCTTAACAGTTATACAGATTAATATTGGGATTCTCTTTTATGGTCTTCTCTAACCTCACACTCAACCATTTTGAAGTCATTAAACGGATGTTAAATTCCCTACTGCATGTGTGCTTGTCTATAATCTTCCTTAGCTGCCATGTATCTTCAGCTGCCTTATATGCACAATATGAATACCATGGACATTTTCATTTTGCCCCAGAACAAAGGAAATATGTGCCCACTTCCCATTTATATTGTTCCATACTTTTGGGCANAAATGCATTTTAGTGATATAAGTAGTCAAATCAATCCCTTTAACCTATCATTTAACTGTATAGTCCCATACCTATACAGTCTCTAGATCCCTCTCATTCCGGTGTATGTTCGATTCATTCATGTGTCCCTTCCATTGGAAGCCTGCCAGGAGCCGCTCTTTGTTTGTGCCCCTTGCACTTCGTGCCTCTTGCACCGGTGATCACTTCCCGCCCTCGTCAGTGCCCGGGTGTCACAGGTAGTACTATTGCTAGGAAAAGGAGAAAGATTAATAGCTTGGAGAAATTTGTTATGGATTTTCAAAAAAGGGAGAAAATGTCCATTTGGACGCTATCTTTTATGGGGTTGATTAACATCATCCTTCTTTGTATTTTGTTTAAAAGTCCATGATGTGTTCTAGTAGTTAGTTGTTGTGAAGAACACTTTGGCCTTATTGTAATATGGTGTTTTGAAATCAATGAGAAATGTGAATTTGTGCATCTGGTATTGTTGTTTGAATATACATTTTGTCTGATCTATACAACATAAGATAATTGAACTTTAGATTGAAATGATAATAAAATGAGAAAGTGGTGTGTCATTCTCATTGTAATTGACAAAAAAAATTGAGCAAGTGGTTTAAGCACAATTATTGTAACTGAAATGAGATTTGAAAAGCAGATAGGTAAATTATGTGCAGTAAATTTGTAAGAATTGCATTTATACATTTTGACCACATAAGATTATTATAGTCACATGATGTAAGTGTCCCCTGTACTGTCAAAGATGAGTACCTATAACATGAATATATATCACAACAAAGAAGCATATTCATGTCATCACAATATACATTACAACTAATTTATACTGGACATGCACACGGAATGTGCATCAATGATAATGACATTATAATCAAAAAATGGAAAATCAAATGCACATCCAAAAGACAAACTGTCGTTGAATTATAATCACAGTATAATTATCCAAATACATATCACAGCTTACAAAATACCCAATTAAAAATGAATTTCAAACTACATGACTATGTTTACAAAGAAGCCAATAAGGGGTTGTAACATACTTAATCTAAACTTGTCAATATTATGATGTCAATGTTTAAAATACATGTGACTGTTCTAAATAACTTCTAAAGTCCTGTTGTAGATGGTTGTGTTTGTTCAAATTCTCATTGAGTAAGTTGGCTTGGTCCTGTAGTTGGCTGAGTTTCAGGTTGCTGAGTTGGTCCTATAGTTGGCTGGGTTTCAGGTTGTTGACTTGGTCCTGTAGTTGGCTCGATTTCAGGTTGCTGACTTGATTGAGATTGGTTTGTTGGAGGACGTTGTGGGTAAGTATTTCTTTTATGACCAAGTTGTCTACATATGGAACATCGCTTACAAGTTCCATTTTGCTTTATCTATGTGTCATCCTTCTTTAGCTCCCAAGCCTTTAGCCTTCTCTTCTTTTTTGGTTTACCAGGTAACATCCTTTTAGGTGGAGGCAAGACATCAGGCTGAGAAGTCATTTCCCATAGGTGATGACCATTGATAAGGTATATCATTGGAATATATGTTTCTTGGTATGTTGACCTTCTAAACCAATTTGGGATGTAGTCTTCTCCATTGATGTTCAAAAAATTCATGGCAGCTAGTGCATGACAGCATGGGATTCCTATTAAAGTCCACTTTCTGCAACTGCATTCGACTTTATCTATGTCAACAACATACTTCTCATCAATCATTGAAGTGTGTCTCACCTCAAAAAATTTTTGTCCTGACCAAGTGCAATGATAAGCAATTAAAATCAATATTTAAAGTAAAAAAATTTAAAACATCATAATAAAGTCCAGATTCTGATGTAGTGATGTGCACATACCTAGGTATCCAAAATTTAGTCATGCGCAATTCCTTTTCAAATCTTCTTTTAATCTTTGGGCAAATACAACCTTCAAATGTAGTTATTTTCTGTCTATTTGTTGTCCATCTCTTCATGAGGTACATACGAATGTCTTCCATCATTGGGATGATGGGCTTACCTCTTGCATGTAATATGACACTGTTGAAAGCTTCAAACATATTATTGACTAAGGTGTCACAAACAGCTTTACCTGTAAACCTTAAATGTGACCAAAATCTAATTAAACAAAAACAAGTGAAATATATCAGGTAGGAAAACAAACAAAAGTAAACATGAAGAATGGATTTAAATATGACATACCTAGGTGGAATTGCTAACAAGTATTTGAAGGCATCTGGATTGACATATTTAATTTCTCTCATCACTGCCTCCCATGCTGGAGGGTGTGTTGATGATGTTGCCTTTCGTAATAGACATTTTAGAATTTGGCCAGGAAATCTCTTCCTAAAATTAGCATAAACGTGACGCACACAAAATCTTTGCTCCACACCAGGTAGAAGTTCTTGTAATGCTGGAAAAAGTCTTTATCAAAGTAAAAACATGAAGCTATACAAATTATAATACAAGACATGAAGGTTTCAAAGATAAAAAACAACAATGGGCTATGTTACTCACTTTTTGTTGATCTGACATATATGTGATTGTTGAAGAAAGCTCCACACCACCAAGATCATCAATGAGTAATTGTAAAAACCAAAGCCAATTATCCTTATTCTCCACCTCAACAACAGCATATGCCAAAGGACACATTTGCTCATTCTATCTCTTGCAACTGTAGTTAACAACTCACCTCCATATTTTCCTTTTAAGAAACAATCATCTAAACCTATAATAGGCCTACAAGACACAAAGTTGTCCTTACAGGCCTTGAAACACACATACATTCTCTTGAATATTGGATTATCCTCATTAGATTCAACCTTAACTTTAACAGTTGAACCAAATTAGACCGAAGCAACTCATTTGCATAGTCATAGAGTCTTTTATATTGTTCTTTAATATCACCTTCTATTTGTTTAAAAGTCATTGTCTTTGCCTACACGTTGTAGACTAAGAAACACCAATGTTCCACTTCTTAGAAACTTTGTTTTGGAGGTTATTGATAATGACATATTTTATTATGATTTCACTATTGATTTGAGAGAAAATGTTAACTCTTTCTTAGCTTTTTGCCTTGTAAATCCTAGTTTTCTTGTAGTTTCTTAAGTGGTTGCATCTTAAGCTTAAATGAGAAAATTTGATCATTAATTCCTGCTTTTATGTGCCCAAAGTAGGTGGAAGAAGTCTATGCATCAAATGAAGGCATTAGAACCCAAGGAAAGCAAGAAAAATATCAAAAAGGGAGAATTCTGAAATGATATCGCTGATCTGCCGCTAGGCTACCGCTTGAGCGGTTTGCTCTCTGTAATGCTAGCGCTGGGATACCGCTTGAGCGGTAAGGACGCTGATGTGGTAAATATGATGTTTTTAAGATCTCAAACGCGAAAGGCTTGGCATCTTTTGGCATACAAACGTGATTCCTCTTGCTAGAGCATCAAAAATCGAGCTAGGAGCTATGGGAACAACCCTTTTTCCTTGGGTTCTCTTCCTTCTTCCATTTCCACCATTTTTGTAAGCTCAAGCTCTCCATTCATGGAGAGCTAGTTTCATTGTTGTTGGGGGATTGATGTAGCCACTAAACTCTTGTGTAAACTACTGTGTTTTGAATGAATATATGTTTCTTTCATTGATTGTTAGTATTTAATACCTTCTCTTAATGCTTGTTGTGAAGTTGCTACCCATGGCATGATTTTAGGGTTTGGTTGATATTGGGAAATGTTGGGTAAATCTGGAAATGGATTAAACACCTAGAGGAAATAGTATCTAGGGATAGAACTAGGACCTTGGTTGTCTTAAATCTCAATTCTTAATGCGGAAATAATTGTTAAGTTTTCTAAGGGATTGAAGCCTGATAAGGAAGTCTAGGCTCTCTACCAAGGGATTAAGTTTGAGTAAATTAGTAGATTGACATTAACATATTAATGAAGAGAAAGTGATTTACCATACATAAGATAGAAGTAGGTGAAATCATAGCCCCAATGATATCATTCCATATCATTTCTAATCTTTTCATTTCCAAGTGTTTGAGTATCTAAGATACTTTTATCATATATGTTGAATGTTTACTTAATTGCACAAAAAACCCAAATTATGGAATCATTCATTAGTCTAAGTTAGTTGGAAATTACATGATTGTTTGGTGACACGAGTCTCTTGGGAAACAATATCCAGTCTTGTCGGTTTATTACTTGAAACGTTTTGGTACACTTGCCAAAGTCTTAACAGTTATACAGATTAATATTGGGATTCTCTTTTATGGTCTTCTCTAACCTCACACTCAACCATTTTGAAGTCATTAAACGGATGTTAAATTCCCTACTGCATGTGTGCTTGTCTATAATCTTCCTTAGCTGCCATGTATCTTCAACTGCCTTATATGCACAATATGAATACCATGGACATTTTCATTTTGCCCCAGAACAAAGGAAATATGTGCCCACTTCCCATTTATATTGTTCCATACTTTTGGGCAATGAAAAAATCCCAAAATCCCCATACCCATCTCTATCATCATCTGTGTTGTCACTTTCAACAACATTGTTCAAACTCTCAGATTCCCAATCACTTTCTGATAAACCCCTAGGTCCACCAATTTCTACTTGGTTAGTAGCTTCAAATATATCACATTCCACTTCATCTCCATCGTCAGTCAAGACACCCTCTTCAGACCCATCCTAACTTCTAACATCATACTCATCAACTTGTACGTTAGCCTGACCCTGTCCCTCCGCACCATTACCCTCTACCTTAGTCACTTCCTCTACCTGAACTTGTACCTAAGGCTCTACATCAGTCATTGCCTCTGCCTCAATTTCTACCTCACCTTCTACCACACCATCTACATCAGCCACTGCCTCTACCTCAACTTCTATCTCACCTTCTACCACAACATCTACATCAGCCATTGCCTCAACTTGAACTTCTACCTCAGCTTCTACTTCTACTTTAGTCTCTACCTTAGGCTCTACATCACCCACTACTTGAACCTCTGCTTCACCCACTGCCTGAACCTCAACTTCACCAACCTCTATCTCAACTTGCTTTTCAACACACACACACACACACACTTTCTCTCTCTCAACTTCTGCTTCACCACTAGGTCTCTCAATTTCTGGTTGATAAGAGTATTCCAACTCCAAAAGATATTGAGGCTGACACACCATGTGTATAACATAAAGGTGAGCTTGACCATTTAACATAGCAATATTGACTATATGACATGCACCTTTGTCATCTAATAACAGTTCCAAACAATCTTCTAACACAGGACCACAACCATATGAATACCACAACTCCTTTACATTCCTATAATTCATCTCCTTAAGAATGCTTAATATTTCAAAATAACTCCATCGATCTAGATCAATTTTTAAAGTTGTGGTTTGACCATAGTGGTATCTGAATGTCCCATTATTCTCAAATTTCCCCTCATGGTAAAACACAATTTCAACGTTTGAGTTGTCCATCTAAACTAATATAAAAATTGTTCATAGTTAATTTATGCTTAACCCAAATGTTATCTACCCAAAAAACAAGTAAAACAAATCAAAAGCACAATTATGAGAATAAAAAAATGTTGTCCACACACCATCAGGAGGGGACCACAACCATAATGGCGCAACATTATTCAAAGCACATGCACACAAATAATGGGGGACAATAAACAAACAAAGCAACAACAAATCAAAACTTACGAGGGGACCACAGCGACAACAACCAAACACAAAACACGCTTTTTGAATCAAACACATATCAAAGCTACCATAAACGCACCTTCGAATCGCGCTTTTCGTAATACCCACGAACACGATTTTTGGAAATGCGCATCCAAATCCAACGTAGAATTGCGACAACGATATATGTGTTTGCAATGTAGGGGAAGTGCGACAACGATTCTATCTTCTCTCGCACAATTTCAATTGCCCTAATCTCGCATAAATCAGCCCTAAATCATATTTTCCCCAAATTAAAAAACCCTATCTTAATCTTAATAAAAACCCAAATTTAAATACCCTAACTTAAAAATCAACATGTCAGCATGCACAAACTGATATATTGACACGTTGTCAATAACGAGTGTCATATCATCAATGCATTAACTCTGTTTGGTCATAAGGGACAAATATGACGTAAATTTTACTATGGACATATTCCAAATACTTTTAAAAATAGGAACTGAATTGACATTATCTAAGGAAAGTGAAGACCAAAGAGGCTGTTAAACCGTAATTAGACTGCTGCAACCATTATATACATATAGATGTCGTTAAATCCTCATGAGAAACCAAATAAACTCCAAAATTTCTTTCCTTCTTTCTACGCTGCATTTTCCTAAATTTTCATCTTCATTCTTCTCCCTTCCACAGTCCACAACCAAAACTCTCCATGAAGAAGCCCAACCTCTTCACCGCCGTCGCTGCCCTTCCTCTCCTCTCACTAGGTTTCATAAATGTTTTAGCACTTTCAATGCTCAAAATGAAAACAATTATTTTGTGAATAAAGGTAATTTTCTGACTTTTGTTGTTTTGTTTATTGAAGGATGGGACGAGAATCCGTGAGAACGCTTCGTCGCAGAAATCCACTCTAACGGAGAAGTTCGCTCCAAAATTTGATGGTTTGCGTTTTATTGAACCCTAGTAACTACGCATAAATGAGATTATGGTTTTTATTTGCGCTTCGTGCTTGGTCCTCGTTCTTTCTTTTGTCATTATTAGTTAACAATCTATCTTTTTATAAAAAAATAGAGAGAATTTTTTTTGACATTATAGATTATTATTGGGGTTAAATATGTTTTTAGTCCCTAAACTATTGACCGTTTCTGGTTTTCGTCCCTCTTCCAAAGTAAGGTACAATTTAGTCCTCAATCTTTAAAAAACGTTCGTTTTAGTCGAAAAAACGAACGTTTTGAGGACTAAAACGAGGACTAAAAACAAAATTTTAAGGACTAAAACGAACGTTTTTCTAAAGAATGAGGACCAAATTGTACCTTACTTTGGAAGAGGGACGAAAA